TACCGTCTATATTTATTTCTCAAGTCATTTTACGTAATTGTCAGCGTACACTGAGAAAACAATTTACTGTGAACAAGTAATATTTTATTCAACTAAGAAAATCAAAATTTTGAATGATGATTATTTTAAACAATAAAAAAATAATTTTTTTCATATCCTTGTTCAAAGTTGAACTTTGCTCCCTATTTTCAGGTCGCAAAGCGACGTATTCTATCCCACAAGAAAGGCAAAAATTCGTCTGCACATGTGCAAACAGAATACGTCCCTTTTCTAACCTCAGAACAGATAAATATGATGAAAAATAATATGTTGGCCATAGAAGCAAAGTAAGATATCCTTACCTGAGTGTTGACCACCCTTGCCTTCGGTTTAGGATGCAATTCTACACCCGGGTCGGAATATCATACTTTTCTCCCTTGGTTGATAATCCATTTATTAATTAAATTAATATTCTTTTGTATAGAAAAAACTTCTTTTGCAATGTAAAAATAATATTTTCTTCTGAATTAAATATTAAAGTATTATTATTATTATTTATTCATTCAAGATTTATAGTACGATTTAATTGAAAGTACTTTGTTAAACTAAAAGTCTGAAGAATGTTTAAGTAGTCTACAATGTTAATGATAGAAATCGTTTTGAATTATATTAAAAGAAATTTTTTTTAACGAGTTTACTGTATTATTTATTTAAAATAATGTTAATTACTGTTTTTATTTTCAACGACTTATCAGATAGAATGAAAATTATATTTTATTAAACATTTTATTCGTTTGAAAATTGAGGAGGGAAGTAAATTAGAAAGAGAAGAATCGTCAGGGCGGCACCTGACCGGAAAGCGTTACAGTCCACGACTTTAGCCTTGTTCTACCTATCCTTCTTCTTCTTCGTCTTCATACTCTTCACTCTTTACTTTTAACCTCTGGAATTTCCTCCAACATCTTAGGGGTTGTTTCCAACTAATAATAACAACAATAACAACTTCTTAAGTTGAAAATGCAATAGTTGCAGTGAAAAATTACTCACATATACCCAGAGGAATAGTAAATCATAAATTTGACAAACTTGAAAGGGTTTTAAAGAGGTCAAGAATCGCGACAAAGGTAAAATATGAGGGTTTATAATAGCAGGATGTTACAGCTCGTGTCCGGCACACAAGCATCTGGTTTCATAAATGAAAGTGTCTTCATTCATAGATACATATTTCCATACAATTGAAACTATTGGTTCGTATCTTATGATATCGCTATTATGTGCGGTCCCTAGATATTACATATGTACATAGCACCATTATATACAAATTTTACACATAATGCTGGATCACTGCTGCTTTTATAACAACTCTTTAGATTATAACGATAGTTTAATCATAAATAAAAAATATCATTTAACTTCCATTATACTTCATAATCATTCCTTTCAAGAGAAAACTTCTTTAGGTGCATTAAGCCATTTTTAGCAAAGGATAAACTTGTCAATATGCTAACGTTAAGAGTGTATCTATAGCTATGAGATTGAAGCATTTTAAATAAAACATTAGGTTTAACTATTTTCAATGCATTTTAATTAATAAATAAAGTATTTAAAAATAAATAGAATTATTACTTGGAATAGTGATAGATGTTAAAACTAGGCTAATATTAATAAGGTCAATTTACAAATTATGAATTTTTAATACTAAAATTAATTATAAATTCAAACAAACTATTATTATTTTATAGTTTTAAGTTTTCACTTCTATCGATAGTCCCTATGACTGCCTGAATTTTTATTTTTAATATAATTTGATAATTGAAAAAAATTATTTCTTGAAGATAAATTAGTTGGATTAAAGACGATAAATTGAAGGATGTGATTGAATAAAAAATGACTAATGGGAGGATTTATTAGAGTGAGAGAGGATTGGTTTATTAAATAAAGTTTTTGGTTATTTTTAAATTTTTTCCTTAAGTTATTTGTAGGAATCGATTGTTACTAAGTATTCAAAGGATGCCCGAGTACACAGGAAATCTCGGACGCACCCACCGAAACACCCCGCCTTCGTCGGACTCAATTTAATGTTCCGTTTCCTCTCTAATGATAAGGGGCAACAATTTTTATAGAACTTGTGCTCATCACAATCACATTTTATGATGTTCATAATATATTTTTACTATTCTTTTTAAACATTTTATTTCATCAACTTTCATGATAACTTTATCTCATAGACATAACTCTATGTTAAAAGATACTTTGTAATTTGAAATGCAGAAGCGAAACATAGAAATAGGAGATTGTGGTATAAAAAATATATATAATAAAAATGTGGATACAATGAAGATGAAATAAAATGAAAATTAAATAAAACATAGAACTGCATATTCATTTTTCCGGAAAGTACTCCGCATGTTTGCGAATGTATCTAAATATGTATGAGCTACCCTTTCGTTCCTACACTGTTGGAGAATAGAAACAAATAAATTTCAAAGTTAACTGAATCATCTTGATTTTTTGCATTCAAATCATCTCTACAACTTCATTTTCTTTTGAATAATAATACATTTTTTTCATATTTAAAATATTATTAATAAAAAAAATAATTAATAAAATGATTTTTATGCACTGAAAAAATTAATAAAATCAAAATTTTGCATCATTTTGTTGGAATTAACATTAATATTAACTCTATATATTATTTATTATAATATATTAATAAAAAAAATATAAATAGTCAATAATAATTAAATAAACAACATTTTATGAAATTTAAAAGAGACATTTTTTAATCAATTTAAATGAAATTCTTTCATTTTTAAAAGTACTGTACTTTCTAACAGCAAAAATTTTAATGATGTATTAATTATTATTTTTTATTGGAGTAAATTTCACAATTATGAAATGAAACAAGGGGAAACAATAATAGGTAATAAATAACAATCAAAAAAGAGAAAAAATTCGAATAATATACATCAAAATAAATGAAAAGAGAAACTAATTAATTTAAAAAAATTTTTTTTATCGCTTAATAAATTTTTTTAATGACAAGTGACAGACATGTTACGCTGCGTCACGAGACGAAAATGAAGAAGAAGAGAATTCTAGTGTAATCTAGGTCCGTGAATCGCGAAAGGTATATAGAAAAGCAACGCACTTGCGCATTAAAGAGCAATTAGCCGCGGCTCGCGAGCACGCTGATGCCCGGAAGCGATAGAACACACCGCGCGTGCCATCCTTACTCGACTCACTTGCCTTACTTAGACCGACACTATCCTATGAGTCCAACTGGTACCGCCAAGGAGTTTATTCCTTAGGAGTATCCGCCGCGGAACAAAACGCAAGGTGAATGCGATAAAGTAAAAAAAAGATAGAAAGAGCAAAAAAAAGAGACGAAGATATCGCGGTTCCTCTTTCATATTATATTAATGGTAGCCACAACCGCGGTCTGCCTTATTCCTACTTACACTCACTCAATTACCTTCTCGGATAATCATTATCGCAGAAAATACATCGGCGGGGCTCATTGCCCCAATGCTTAATTAACTGCTCGCCAAGAGACGGTAATTGGTATATGTGCAACAGCCTGTACGGTCAATCGTGCAATAGTAAAGATCACCTGAATTAATAAGTCGAATATTAATACGTATATGTACACTGAAGGCAATCATTCAGACATGTTATAAAATATTTTTTAACCCCTTTCAACAGGTTAAGAGCGTCATTAACATTATTTTATTGGAAATAAAAACTCATCACTTTGTAATGAATTAAATAAAAATAAATAGTTTCAAAAATTAGCCTGTATCTTGACGACGAACTTCCCATTCATGGAAATCCGTCATTTTCCATGTCATCTTTTTATTGTTTAATCACATTAAATTATTTGGAATAATATTTTATTGATATTCATCGAATATAATCATAGTAATGATCATTCAATGAATTAAAACCATTTTTAATTATTTATAACAAATTTAAATTGTTATAAACAAAAATGGCTGAACCGAATTTGTTTAAACTCCTTCTAGACATTCTTCATTGTATCATCTTTCGAATGAAATTTGTCTGGAGTCGATATCTTCAATAGTTCTCGAGATATCGAAAATGAAAAAAATCGGTTATACGTACGTACAATTTACGTACCGTCAATAAATTTGAAAGCATCATTTAAAGTCTAAATATTTGTAAAATAAGAAGGATTTCTAAAAGTTATCAAATATTCTATCCATGAAAGATGGTTCAAAAGAACAGATCATTCTAGAACATCACACTTATTTCGAAGTATTGAAGAGCTAACCAGTCATCATCCGCCAATATGCAATATTTAAACCTACATAAAACTGAAATAAAAAAGGGAGAATATTGAACATGATGAAATAAAACTAAAACGAATAGAGACTTGGTCTAAATTTGAAACTCTAGAATAGTTTGAATACGAAAAGGTAATCTTTTTTGGAATTTACAAATATTGTACAGAGGAAAAGGATCAGGAGCACACGAGACTTGTGAATCATTCAGCGGAAGAGATAAAAGGACGTTACTTAGGATGCCATAAAATAAAATGGAAGCGGCTTCACTTTATAGTGATCGATTTGTGGTGATTTTATAACTTCACCTGTCTATGCTTCCTCGTGCCAAAGTACTCTGGTTCAAACGAGCCGCGATATTTTATATCTTCAAACATAAATTCAAGCCTAGATTTTACATATCACATGAAAGGATTTCAACAGTTGAAGAACGAGTTATCCATTTTATTTTTTAACAAAAAACTCGTTTTCTTTACATTTTACGCGCTTTATTGCAAACGAAAAATATTTTAAAACCCTTTTTGTTCTTTAAATTAGTAAGAATAAAATTATTTTTATCTAAAAATATTTTTTACCTTTCAAAAACGCAACTTAGTCTACTAAATATATTAAAATTAAACTTATGACTTAAAAACTATCATAAAAAAAATTAAGTATATATTGTTGTCAATTAAAACTTATGAACTATTGAAGTTTCCAACGAATGACAACACTTGGTAGCAGTAAATCAGTTTAATTATTAAAAAGTTCGACAGTATTTGTTGCACAGCCTTGGAAGTTTTTCGATGAATGTCGTCGAAATGATTAAAAAATCTTTAAACTATTATGCTGACCATTAAGTACTTAAGCTTATGTTTATATTTTTGTCATGTAATAAAAAAATTAAAAAATGATATCATGATTACTCATCTAGATGAGGCACTTTAACTCAGCATCTTCATCAACGTTATTGGAAGCACTTACTTCAGCTGTAAGAGCTAATACTTCTTCACATACACGTTTATAGACCCAAGCATCACCTTTCAATCGTTTTCTTCTAATTCCTACCATCGGTTTATCATTAGAAATTCCGTCCAGCAGACAAACTTCTAATTGAAAAGAGCAAGCTTTTCGTGAAGAATAAGGTTTTGTACTTTCTTTGATATTTTCACTGTCGACAGACTCAGTTTCTCCTTGTAAAATGAATCTAAAATAGTAATAAACATTGTAGAAAGAAGAATAAAAAATTTCATTTATTTTACAACTTCTACTATTCTTAGGAAGATGTAAATTACCCTTTTTGTCGACAAATTATGCCTTTACGTTGTAGAGCGCGTCTAAGCTGTAATAAAACTTGCTTTGGACAGTTGCTTGATGTTGATGAAACATTAATCAAACCCTAAAATATTGAAATCAATTAAAATAAAATTTTAAAATTAAAAAAAGAATTTTTTAAAGCTTTTGAATCATACTTTTCCACTTAAAATAGCCGGTCGATCTTGCTGCTCATCATTTTTCAGTTTTCTTTTAGGAGTTAGAACATTCCGAACGCGATTTATACCACGTTCAAGACCCATTATTACCTTTCGAGCACTGCCAGGTGTTGAAGTTTGAACACCTCTAAAAAAAATCATCGTAATATTCTATAACGATATTTTAATCATTGTAAAAAGTACATTTGCTTGTTTAAATTTGTTTGCATTGATAGTAAAAAATAACTAGTATAGTTACTTCGACTGTTTTTCTGTAGGAGTAACAGGTGTAGGATCAGGTTTGTGCATCTCAGCAAGTTTTTTCAACGGCACTGTAACAGAACAAATGAATTTCAAAACCATCAATGTTTTTTCTTTAACATTGAATAATGAAGAAAAAAAAAAGGTTTTAACATCAGTAAAGCTTAATTTCTAAACGTTTCGCTGAACTAATTATCAGGTGCGTGTATTTCTACTGTGGCATGCAGTATTTTTACGTCAAAGTTTTCTAACTAGGTACATTACAACTTCATCTAATTAGGAGTAAACCGTAATGAAAGTAACTGTAACTTTAATTACTTCAGGTATTATCTAGATAACTCACCAGGCGAAGATACGTCGTCTTCTTTATTGCGCATTCTTTTACGCCCTGTGGGCGGTGGATTCATTGTACTTGTCGACTGAACTGGTGCTAAAACAAAAATTATTTATTGATGAATTCAATGATCAACCCTTACTTTAAATATATTCATTCAAGTATTTGTTAATTTATTCTCACTTGTATCTGGTGTTGGAGGCAAAATATTATAAGTTTGCTGATCTATCTTCGGCTTAATTTGTAAATTTTGTCTTGGTGATTTATCCAGCTGAGTTATGACTGTGTTAACTTCATTTGTGTTCTGCGGAGCTTTATCCTTATCCTATATGTGTATAATTATTACTTATTTAGTACTTCTCTTGATAATTTAATCTACACTGCTTAAGAATAAAATTATTACCGCTGGTGATGATAGAGAGCTTTTTGATGCTGGAAATATTCTTAACGATAATCCTTTTCGTTTTCGGTCTAATAATAAAAGATAAGTTGCTGTCCTATAGTCTGATCTCATACTTTTAAGTAAACTATTCCATAAATTATCAATTGTTTCGTCACAAATAGCTGCCATTGTTCTTAAAACATCATCATTTCTTTCAATCTAAAATGTCGTTAAATTATTAGATATCAAATCATTAGATTTCATCAAGAAAAACAAAAAAAGAGATGTTGCTATTCACTCACATTATTTTTTTTACTAAAAACAACAGGATTCAGGTAAGTAGCTGTAATCCAAGGATGATTACAAAGCTCGTCTATTGTAATTCTTTTCTTTGGATCAGTTTGTAACATTGCACGAATTAAACTTTTACTACTGCTCGATAGCCAACAAGGTTCATCATATTTTCCACTCTGAAAGTTCATTATTCATTATTGAAATGAAAAATTTCATTATAAACTTCAAGTAGGCTGTTCCATAAGTTTTATAATAGATCAAATCTAAGCGTATGATAGTCTTCCATTAATTGCAAGTTCATGCATGAACTTTGTGATGAAACTTTCATTAGTAAGCTTTGGGAAATAAATCTAACAAAATGTTTTTGCAAGACTTATGGAATAGGCTACGTATTAAACTATTAGAACAATTACCAAAATTTTTTTATATAAATTATCGATTCCTTCATCATCAAAAGGTAAAAATCCACATAGTAATGCATATAATAATACACCCATACTCCAAATATCTACTTCAGAGCCTGTTAAAATAAATAACTATTTTAGTATAATTGTTTTTTAACATATAAGTTAGCAAGCTTAATGTCTTATCAATAATTACCCAAATATTTTTTTCCTAATATTAGTTCTGGTGCTGCATAAGTAGGAGAACCACAAGATGTATATAAATGGGATTGCATTCCACCTACTGGTTTGGCACATAGTCCAAAATCAATCAATTTCAGATTTTGATCTCTATCGAGTAGAACATTTTCCTGTTAAGCATAATATTTACATAAATTAATTTTGAAGAAAATAATATTTAATAATTGCTCTCTCAAGTCAGCTTACAGGTTTCAAATCTCGATGAGCATAGCCCAAACTGTGGAGATATGCTACAGCTGAAACGATTTGTCTGAAAAATTTTCGAGATTCATCTTCAGTAAGTCTATTTTTCTCCACTGGAAAATAAAATACTTCGTGTCAAGATCATCTTCATAGAATAATCGAAAGTAATTAAAATACATCAAGTGTCAAAACCGTGTTACCTATATGATCAAAGAGTTCTCCTCCAGAACAATACTCCATTACCATGAAGTAATGAGTTTCAGTTTCAATGGTTTGATACAATCTACATATGTGTTGATGTAAAAGCGTTTTCAAGGCTTCAATTTCTAGTTTAACTCTGGGAAGATCTTCCTACAAACACAAAAGCAAATATTGTTGTGATTTACTAACCTTTGAAATTTTAGTAAATATTCATTTCTTATAAATATTAAATTATAATTTTTAAATTATGATTAAAACGAATAAACTTACACCCAAAGCTGATTTTTCCATGATTTTAATTGCTACCTTTTCTCCGGTAGCAATATGAGTTCCCAGCTTGACTTTGGCAAACCCTCCACAGCCAACAGTCTTTTCGAGTTCGTATAAACCTCTAAGTGCTGCATATCGGCCCATTTTATCATTTAATGAAATAAATTACTTAATAGAATATAACATAAATACTTAATTTATTTGTTTATCATCACTATGAACGAGGAATATTTTTTTAAAGCTCTCAAGAGAAACTTTTTTAACGTAAACAGTTATGTGACCAATCAAGAGACGCCATTACGCATGACGCGACTGAGTGGGGTTGAATTGGCGGTTCGAAAATATTTAAAACTGTAGATGGCGTGGTACCCAACAGTAGCGCCACGCCGGTAAAAACTGAACTAAATAGCAGTCGGTAAAATAAATTCGTCGGTATTACAGAGCACAAAACTCATCACATGCATCCATACTGCTGTGTTGTTTATTCAACGATAGTTAACTTGAAAAAAACGTCTTTTCATCATTCAATATCATTTAAAAGTTTTATTGTAGTAAATAGGCTAATTGACAGTGTATTCATACCTGCGACTGAGCTTGAATGTAATTTTTTTATTAAGATATAAGAAAATCAATCATCACCAGCACCATGCCGAATAATCTTCTCGATGTTGATGACAATATCTTGAAAAATTCACTTCGTTTACCAGGAATTTCAAAAGAAGATGAAGAACTGGATAATATTCTTAAATCTTTAGAACACTCGAATGTGCCTTCAGTAACATTCAGACCTGTACCAGGAATCTGTATTAAAATCAAAACTGATACTGGTGAAAAAATATTTATCAATCTTTGCCATACGAACATGGGTATTCCACCTCCAGAAGACATTTCTGATGAACGTTTTTTTGCCCTTCTAAATGAAAGTAATCCTTCTTGGGTAATTCCTATGAGTATTGGAAATGAAAGATATGAAAAGAGTAACGATGGTACATCATGTTCAACGTATGATGTAGCAATCAACTCAGACTTTTTTAAAAAAATCATGAACCAAAAGCACTTTTTAACATTTGTCATTCTAACAATAATCTCAGCTATCGAATCTAAATTTGATAAAAATTTAGATTCTAATAACTACGTTATTCTGAAGAACAAAAAAGTTACTGGAACTCTCCAGGACCACAGAGTTGAAAAACGAGAGGTTCGAAAACCTGTGATGCCTAAACCATTAATTGAAGAATTACCTAGCACCAAGAAGCCTATAGTACCTGAAAAGCCATCATCAGAAAGAAATTCATCCGAAACTGTTAATGAATCTGAATACATTATATTAAGGAAACCGAAAGAAGGAGATCCCGAAAAGTTAATTGGCTATTTTAAATTAACCAATCAAACTCTTAAAGATGATGTTGAAGCTCATGTTGGTAGTGATAGAATAGTTGTAGCTGTATCCAAATTTCATTATGCTGTTGATGTTTTTGTGCCTTTTAAAATCCAACAGGATCAAGTTACAGCATCTCTAGATGAAAATCTAAAAGTAAAAAGAAAATAAAATAATGTTAATTATTTTGTTCTTTTATTATAAATGATGAATTATTAATAATAATTAATATTTTTTCAGGTACTGAGATTGGATATGCCAGTGATTCTATAACATAAAGCAGTAACTATTTTTATTCACTTTTATCTTTCATTTGTTATTTTTACACAATTATTTATTGCTTTCTTTTCCATAAAATATTAGTATCAAGTTTATTGTTTAATCAATATTGTATTTGGTTTAACTTTTATCTATCAAGCTTGATTAAGCTTTGAAGCGTATTATTTTTCAACTTAAATTAATGTATCAAAATAAGAATCATTGTTAACAGTAATAAAATTAGTTAAATAAAGTGTATATTTTACACTTCTGTATAAAAAGCAGGCCTTTCTAACCCAATTACGTAAAACAAACGTGGTAAAAAATATATTGCATAAATACCAAACATAAAACTAAATATAAATTTATAGAGTAAATCAACAAGAGTTTTATTCTTATTTTCTAAAGAGTTTTCACTTTTTTTGAGTTCTGTAGCATCAATCCCCAGTATGGCACACATTATTTTATAAATAAAATATTTGTAAATGTATTTATTGGGAATCATGCAACAAAATCCGATAACTGTTCTTAAAATCATATGTAAAAACATTGCTAACGTCGGCCACGTTATATCATACGGCGGTAAAGATAATGGACGCAACATCAATCCAGTCTTATTGTTAAGCCATGTGCCAAAGTTAATTCCTGAAACTACAGATACTACCATTGTCGTATCGCTCCTGTAATAGATCAATTATGTATTTAATTAGGGATGACTCAGAACAATTATCATATCATCAGCTTAGAACGTAAACCTACTAAATACCATAAGTAAATTTACCGTAGGAACAAAAATCATTTTTAAAAAATAGAAATTAATTATAAGAAAGGGCTTTAATACAGTTAGTGTATTATTTTATTCTTTATAATATAAAATAAAAGAAGAATTAGTAAATTCAGTCAATTAAAAATGGGTTTAGCAGGGTCACACTCTAAGCCGATGATTCGGTAATATTTGTTTGTTAATTAATAGCCAAGTTTTATCAATTACCTTGTAGATGTCCATCTATCGCTACATGGATAGTAAACAATTAGAGTAATACTTGTACAGATTAAAATAAATAGAGCCCAAAAATTATTAGTAAGATAATAGTCTAGAATATTAGCTAATGGTACCAATGGTATCATTAAAATTATCGCCAAAAGCAATCCAGCGATAACATCTAGTACTGTGTGCATTCCTAGATAAAGTCGACTGATGCATATCAATGAACACCTGTTACAAAAAAGTTGATTAACCAGTGAGAGATATAAAAACATGATTGCCAATAAATATTCTGATTAGTATAAAAATAGCTATTTCTTACCATATCAGAACGATCGTTATTCCGAAAGCAATTGGACAGTTATATCTACTCGTAGTAAAAATTAACATACTAAATGGGATGGCGACGCTAATGCATGCATGTGTTGATGGCATGCCGTACTCCTCGGACCATTTTTTTTGAAGTCTGACTGCCGGAGGGCATTCAGGTCTAGGCCAGCATATAATGTCTTTTAAAATTTGACCTAGAAACGTTGGGAATTATTTTTATATGCAAAAATAAATTTTATTTTCATCAATAAAAGTGTAAAACATACCAATCGTCATGATTATCGACCAAACTAAGACGACTTTTCGTCCGACAACAGCATCAATATTCCAGAAAACAAATGGAATAAAAGTAGTGTAAAATATTTCATCACCAAGCTCTGTGCTGAACAAAAATAAGTAATACCAAAAGTAGTTTCTCACTAATGGCTTTAATTCTTTGATATCAGATGAAGAAGTATCAACATCATTAGTTGAACTTGAATTCTCTCCTGGTTCTGATAAGTTGCGTATTTTTGAATGACGATGAAGAACATTCTTTGATACATAACCATTTAGTTCAGATTCATGTAGCTCTACTGATCCACATCCATTTTGCTGTTTGATACAGTCTGATTTTTTTCTCGTTTCTTTCAGATGTAATCTTTCATACTCTCGTACATCAATACCAAAAAACTCTTGAATGTGTGCCACCAAGTGAGGATCTCTCAAATAATTTATAGTTTGAATCAACATTTTTTTTTCAATATCACATTTAATTCGAATTGCAATAAATTTTCATTGTAATATTTCGTTTTCTGTAACATATTAATCTATAATGTAATAAACAAATAAGATGTGTACTTTTGTATGACATTTATGTGTTGTTTATAATGAAATATGATTTCAGCTTACTTAAAAAGTATTTTTAAAAGAAGGCCAACTCATAATATCTGAAAAAAAAATTTAATTTAGATTAATTACTATGTTAACTATCAAGAATGAATTAACTGTTAAGAATGTATACTTTTTTATGTTAAGAACTTTGAATTATAGATAAGCTTAGATGTTTTGACGTAATATCCCACTGAGTCAAAATCAAAATATGCACTATCGAACCACATGTACACAGTCCATCTTATACTGCAGATTGAAGCTTTATACTGCGCGCTATGCAATTTTTTACCGCTTCGATCAAAGTAAAAAACTGAAAATGTGTGGGTAGTGTCATTGCTCCAATTCCATCCTCCTGAAATTTATAAACGTAAAAATAGTGGAACTGAAATGACTTCGTTCCTTTTGGTAAAAAACAACTCATTAGATACTCTTTTCGATGTGATACTAACTTATCGACTGATGACATATTGTTACCATAACAACAATTATTATTTTTGAATTGAAATTGGAAATTATTTTCATAGAGTAGTCATTTTCAATTTTTCTTTTACATGTAGCGTTACAAATTAATCTATCGTTGCCAAATATTTACAATTTATTGCTATTAATTAAATGTCATTACTTTTAGAGATTAAAAATAGAAAACGGAAATCTCATAAATTTGTCATAAGTGTATACATAAGTAATTTATACAACTACCACAGATTTACAGCATTAATTCACCCTAACTTACGTTTTCAAGCAATTTTGTTTAAAACAGAGTGCAGTTGACAGTGTTCTATTTATATTTAATTTATGTACTTACGTTTGTATTTTGCATCATTCTAAATTGTTATAAATAATTAAAATGCCGGACAGTACAAAAAGTACAAAATATAACCAATTTTTTTTTTGCAAATTTCTATTACGCACATTTTATTTGTTATTGCTATTTAAAATAATAATAATCAAAAGTAAAACATTAAATATTAAATTAATAAAATGAATACATATTTTTGTTAGATTAAATACAATTAAAGCGTATTATTGTCTATAACTATAATGATACAATACAAAAATGTGAGTATATAATGTAAAAATTATATGATTTGATCGTTGACTTCTATACTTATCAATGATGATTATTAAATTATATTTCATCCATTAGAATTATTCAATCATAACTACTTAAGTAACTTTATAAAAATTATCTGATTTCAAAACATTTTTTTGAATATTTGCAGGTATAAAGCAGAACCTCAGACTAGGCACGTGTCCATAGGCCACCCACATTGAACAAGGCTTTTATATTCTTTCATGGATCGAAGATTCATATCAATACAGATCTACGTGATTTTTGATGGTTCATATGAACTTCAAAACCTGCATTACAATCAAGAATTTCTGCTTATTCGTTGAAATATCCATTGTACAAATAACTCCAACAACGTTTCTTGTGTTAAATCCAATAATTCACACGTTTTAATTGACACTTTAATTGATATTTATAATAAAAACACTTGAAAAATGGCACCGACGTTATAATGCACATTCATCTACCACAATTACAATAATCTACGCACTCATTAAAAGGTATTGTCTTTGCAACAATTCTCATCAATTCATTTGGCACTTTATTTTTACTAAAAATTTAATGCCTTCTCAATTAAATTTAAGTTATTTATTTATTAATAATATTTCAATTTTTTAAGTAATATTTAACTGCGATGTCTATGATTGAAATTCATGTGATTCGGATAGTTTGCTATTTCATTGAATTTATCTTTTTTCCTTGGACATCTTCCTTGTCGTTTTATGTATTCACCAAATTCACACAAAGGAACAGCACATTCTTCATTTTGAATACATCTGGAACAGATCACAAAATTAATTAGTAATTTTATGCTGTACTTAGAGAAAAGAATTGAACGAAGAAATTGCCCTGGAACATAGGATTTTTTACAAAGTGGCAGGATAAATTTTAGTATCCCGCAGGGTAAATTTCACTTTTTATGAGCAATTATTTATTCAATTCCTTTCTCCATGTAGCTTACAATAGTTATCATTATTAACTTCCTATTAGGAAGTTATTGTAATGGAATCGATTTTTGAAATTCGTAATTTTATCATATCTTTACAGCACAGATCCATTTTTTTTATTGTCCAATACTTACAATCGATCTCTTAGAGAAAAATATCCTTTCCCTCTGCGTGCACGAATACAATTTTGATTTTCTTCGTAGCAATTACACTGGCATTCACCATCAAGAGTAATTCGTGGCGTGAAGTCAGATGGACATCGGCATCTAAAGTAATAATACTAACATTAATAGGTACGTAAGAACAGCTAAATGCTAATTTCATTAAAGTCATTAAGTAATTTATCAACAACAACTAGAGAATTTATTTAAGAAATATTTTTACATTGCAGATAACTTACGGCTTCTTTTGTGGTGGCCTTCTTATATTCTGTGGAGGCATTGCTGATTGATGTTGTTGTCTACTAGGATGAGACCTGAACTCAGTCTCCTGCACTGATGATGGTCTGCTATCGCTCGTTATTCCGTACTCGCTTTTCTCTCTACACTCACATTCTGTATGATTGTAAAACGACAGCTTCTCCACTACATTTCCACCTTCAATGCTTGTAGTCTACAACAGGTAGAGTAGACATTATTTAATACAAGATTTAAAATTTTTTATTAAAAGAGATTAACTATTTAATAGATGTAGAAAGTCTGGAAGATCTTTTTGTTGAATATTTATCATTTATTTTATAGACAATAGGAATAAATAGATGACAAGCTTTGTCATTTTCATATATAATAATACTTAATAAATTTATTTTTTCATTTCAGAAAATAATATCCTTTTTAATCAATTTTTCTATACGATTATAAATAGCTGCACGACAATAGACAGCTAGGAATTGTTAGTAAACATACTGCTGTCATGTTTTCTTGACTCTTATTTATATCATTTATGATAATAATCTTCAACCAGGGTGCGGTGAAAATGCAGGTGACTCATAGTTGTATCATTAATATTGTAACTGTCATCGAGAGCTTTGCTTTCAGTATGTTAAAGCTGAAATAATCTCTCGGTGGACAGAGTTAAATAGGAATCGTTGCATAAAAGTTATATAATCATAATACAAACTTAAAATATTATTTAGAAAGAAATTAAGAAACAGTTGCAAATGGTAATGCTTGCGTTTTTACTTGAAACTTAAAAGTGATCATTTTAACCTCTTTAAATGTCAGAACTCATTTGCATTTTCAGGTATCTTTTGCTTGAGGGCTTCCATTCGTTGGCGAAATGATCGACGACAGTGGATGTCAAAGCTGATGTACATACATTCGCTTTGCATTAACATCTGCCTCACCTTAATGCCCCAAGCAAGAAAATAAAAACCGAAAAATTGTTTGCCATGGTTTGCTGGAAATTCCAAATGTAATTCTAGGTCTATATTGTTTGATAAAAATGATGTAGCTTATTGGATAGCCTGGAAATTTTGGTAAGATATTGCTTGAAGACTTAAATGCTCATTTAGATGCATGAATGCATGTTTTACAACTTGAAAATCGGTGAAAGCATGCTGCTATTCATGAGAGATGATTGGTAGCTTTGCGATATAAACAATGCCTTGGTCACTGTCTTGTTTTTGGTCTTCAACTGAATATTTTTAACTCAGTAATCACGGAAGACTACCGAGCACTTGAATTTATCACTAGAGGGCAAAAATAATCAGACTGCAACTTGCTCAGAATAATGATGATAAACAGCGACGTCATGAAGGACGATAGACTAAACAGATATCAGTAACGCAGACGGACAGATTTAATATCACATTGCTTTCGTATATTCATATATCAATTAACTGATGAAGCTGTAAGTTCAAGGAACTTTTGCTAACTCATTGTAGCAATAATCCAATAAATTTTGTCGGCTATCTACATCTTGAAAGCTTATTCGCCTCTCAAGGCTATTTTTTAACACTCCAATGCTGTGATTTATTTCACTTTGTAGGAAGTTTAAGTTTACTAAGAGAAAAAGTCTGAAGCAAAAAGAAAGATCTACTGACTAGTAATTTGCTCGTCAAATTCATTTTAATTTGTTCATCAAAAAATATTTAATCCATAAATGAACACGCGATAAACATTATTCCAGCAATTTATAGTCTTCAAGACATCTTTATACTGAGTGATTAATATAATTGTACTCTAATCCTCAGGGGGCATATAATGTCGATGATAGTACCTGAGGTAGCTACTTTAAGTACTATAATTTATAAAGAACTGATAAATCGATGCATAAATCAATGTCCCTAAATACTAGGTCACATCAATGCTCAAACAAACTCTATACTTGAATGTATATGAGATGAAAACACGTTCTTACAACTCACTGCAGTAGATCAGATCTCTATTTCTCAGATGAAATTTACATACTATACGTTCAAGTTTCACACCCATGACAATTTATCAGACTTGAAAGCATGCGCGGTCTTTGATAACAAGTTTGTTACACTGATCCTCTTTGCTCAATGTAATGATGGTGATTGCTGATATATATTGTTCGTTCCTATTTTTTTTCATTATATAAATCATTTTATTGTAAGTTACTAAATGTGTTAAATGACTTTGATGACCTCTGAATATTTAATTAAACTTCTGATATGTCTTTCTCCCTACCCACGCGTACCCACGCAAACTGATTGTTGATTAGGAAGATACATTACCTGTTTCCTCGTGAATGGAATTCCCAACTACTTTCACAGTAATTTTTTCTTTTTTTTTTTATTAATATTCTACTGCATTCGAATAAAGTTAGCATGTCTTTACGTGACTTAAGATAATAATAATCTCCCAAAAAAAAAATAGCTATCAGTTTTTTTCTCTCATTCCATCTATGAATGTAATAAACATGCAAACTTTTTAATTAAATCTTCAGGATGATTTGGAGATTAATCAGCAGGCTGATGAATTTTTAATACTTTTGATAGCATTGAAGTGAAAATGACGGCTGATAGAGTAATAATAATTATGATAATCTACCCCTTAGATTTCTCTGGACTCTCTCTTCCTGGCTTCATGTAATGCCAGGTTCGTCTACGAGTAGTCTATCGGTTAATAGAGGCCATCGATCTTCTCCCACTGCAGAATAACCGGTCATCCACGGAATTCACGAAGAATTTTCTGCTGCCCACTAAGAGGTGGACAGTTCTATCTAACTTATAGTCAAAGAGCGGTTTGCTTTTGCTATCAAACAACAAGTTCATGACGATACAAATGTTCCCAGCCAATCTCTTTTATAAAGTTCCCCAGATCTCTTCCGTGATCACGCATCTCTATTTTCCAACTCTTGAATTCGAATACCATTGCGTTGTTTATTTCTCAGTTGTTTGTTTTCTGTCCACGAAGAATGTAAAACCAGTTCTCATGTAATTGAGATATGGTTAATACTTAAATGCTATTCCTTTTCCAATGATTATTTGTGGCGAATTGAGTCTAGCAATTGGATAATGGCAAAGTGAGCATGTCACTTATTTTTCTGCTAGACTTAAAGGACAGTTTAGACTAATCATCCATTCAATTGCTAAAAAATTCCTCAACCATTCTTCCAAGTTGGAAAGAGAAATACTTTTATGTGAATTGAGGAATGTCTTGAGTTTCGAAATTTTATGTTCTTTGCATTCGTTAATGATAAGCATTTCTTTTTCGATTGAATAACAAGTTGAACTAGAAGCTTGATTCAGTATTAGCTGATTAATATGAAACAACAAAAACTTGATGTTGTAAATGAATGGTTGACAAAATTTCCAGACCTCCGACGAAGTATGTTAGTTCTAATTACCATTCTCAACTATAAGTAATTAGTTGTTTGATATTGCTGAATTTATAGCATCATTTGTCCAGTTACCTCAACGGTATATTCTTTAACATCCGGTAGAACAAGTTTCACACAACATTGATAAATAAAAAAAAACAGATAATTTCATTGCAAGCTTATTATCCAATCAACACATTTTCATTTAATGTTCCACTTTAATCTCAACATTATTAAGATAAATGTATTTTTATTTATAAATGTCCTTGAAAACACAATGAAAGTATTGTAAACACTTCACTGGGAAGCTCATTGTCCTGTTTGTCCCTCAAGGTTTTCAATTTTTCTCCAGTCTTCACAGATTCCTTTGAAGATTCTAGACAATCAAGAAAATTTATTCACGATACTAAAACTATCGTTTGGATTATAGAGTAAAGAAATAATCTAAAGAATGCTCAAGGTGATATACTAAATCTTTCTACAAACCTAAAAGCCTCGGGGGTATTTTGTAACTGATTCTGAAGCAAGCTTTTATATATTCGCTGGCCAACTGGGCGTGTAATTACACTACATAAAACAGAAGCTGTGGGTCCATCTTGTTACAGTGTAAATAGTTGATATGAAAAAGAAAAATGATATACAACGTATATCAAAAGTTATCCATCATCATCATCATCATCATTATGAATTACACGAAATATTTTTGAAGTGTTTAACCTCAAAAATAATAGCTACTCCAAAAAGCTTTATTACTTGAAATAATATTAGCCCAGTTATTTTTTAGTAATAAGCGGATATTATTCATGAGGAACCAAAGGGGGACGGTTCACATAACCTCACGTATGTATACGCTGTCATTATCGCCTACGCACACTAACTGTACGCACAATTGAAATCTGGCGTCGAGGCATTTGTGCGCTGTCTACACTAACAATGAGCCACGTCTTGGTTCTTTTGGCCCACGCCTTGGGCCGCCCATACAGTGGTATAGGGGTTCTTCCTGTGACTTTAGAATTAACTTCCTGAGTAGCTTTTTATTTTTTATTGTTATGATACCAAACAATTCACCTATCGAATGTCTGCAGATGGTTTTCTCTTATTTTCGTTTCATTTATTTCCATTCACTTATAGCAGAGTCTAGACTCTTGGCAAACTACCTCGTGAAAACTAATTGCTTACCAGATTTACTTTCTCGATCTTGGAATAGTTATTAGACTTTGAGGACATGTTGACAAGTGAATGAAAGTTCAGGTATTTTAAATGCTTTATATTATAGAAAATTTTCTAAAAATATTCCTGAGAGGAATAATGGTTTTTTTTTGGTTCATATTATTTACTTTGAAATATTACAGAGTAGAGCTGACAATACGTGGATTGAATGAAATTATATGAAAGAAATGAATAAAGATCATTAAGCATTTCTTAAGGAAAATAATCAAGCTGAATCAACATCCTTGAAACATACCATGAGTGTTTTCTAGTGAAGGTTAGTTGGGGTTATTACCCGATTGGCCCCCCGAGAGATATATCGCTGCAACTTGCTAGTTCAAGACATGCAATTATGGATGGATTATATAGAATATTTTATTTTTCGCACTTTCAGATGCTCAAATATACACTGAGAACAAAATTTGCTGTTAATAAAATCAAAACTGAGTACATATAGCGAAGCAGCTAGGGTTGACAATAATTAGAAAGAGAAGAAAAAAAACAACAAAAGTAGAAAAAATGAAACTGCTATTGAGATCAACTAGAATTGATCTAATGTCATTTGTATTTAAATATTTATTGTATTATTTCATTTTTATCAATATTAATTGATTATATTATTTATTATTATGATATAATATATTGATAAAAAAAATAAAATCAATGAATAATAGCTAAAATATAAATAAATAATTAAATAAACAAAATTGCAAGCAAAATCATGTTAAATTCAATAATATATTTTATTGTGAATATTTTAAATTATTTTTAATAATTAGCAAAAATTTTTGTCTCAGTGTACTAAACCACATTCGACTTAAAATCTTGAAATACAGTAAAGTTTTGTGTGATTCACGATTAGTAATAATGTTTTCACATTAATTCCAGATATAGTGTCTCGAAAAATAGGATCTTCAACTTAAGACCACGTGCGCGTTTTCACACAAGTGGGAATATAAATATATCTTGTTAGAAGCTTATGCAAATATTCCTGTGGTGCAGTTTAGTTGTCGCTAGCTCAGATTACGAAACATTTTAACAGAAGATGAAATGCATTTCTGAGTCATCAAGGAATCAACAACACTGTCTACTAAAAACAAGAGGAAATTCCAAGAAACCAGTGTCAAAAAAATATTGCAATAATCAGTGATTATTTACTAGAGTTATCAAATAAAAATTGATAATTATTCGCGTTGACTTACTTACTCTCTTAACATCTGTGGTTGATGAATCATTTAATTTATTATCATTATCTTAACCCGATAATGCCATTTTCATTAGACAATTGTTGATAATAAAATGATACTCGATACGACATTTGTATATTAACTTTCTGGATGTTACTAGACACAGTAAACGACTGGCTTTAGACAAAGTAAAAATAGAAGTAGTGCTCAGAGTGCGAACGACCCGTATTCTTGCAGAATTAGCTTTTCAGTATACTTGGTCAGTCGTACAATTTGATTAGATTCTTATCATGAATAGAAGAAGAATTTTTTTTAGCATAATTATTATGGGCTCACTCCTTGCTTTATGTTAATCAACTCAGAAACACCTATATTTTTCTATCCTTTTATTGTACACTAAAATTAAGTATTCATGTAAATAATCTAAATCGCGATCGTTACTCCAATCTTGAACTACGTGTAATCATGTACTCACAAAACGACATAATCGTTTTCGTGATTGATTTATAAATGATATTAAAATTATGACAAGACTCCAGGTTGTGAATACTAATGGCTCGTAATTTTCACCAGGTACTTGAGTGTTTTGTTCATCATAGTGTCGTAGACCTCCTAGGTCTGCACATGTGTATGCATCAGCTACATCTAATGCATACAAGGTCTTGTCTAGTAAGATGGGAATAAATTAATGAATTTGAATATCGAGCAATGAGCTAAGATGAAGCAAAGCTATTGATTTAAATCAACAACAGAATTATTGGAACTCTAGTTAACTATTTCTCAATTAGCTCAAAAAATAGATCCTTGTGAAACTATGTTTTCAATCAACTTGACATCCATCGTTAAGATTTTAATTAATTTCGACACTTGAAATTTGGCCAGGACTTATTCAAAAGCAAACTTTTTTTGACAGAATGTTCTGTAAACTGAAATGCCTGACCGCTTGACTACTCTTTTCTCATGCATCGACGAAAATAGAATCATGTCTAGGGTCTTCATTCCCTCGTCTTCGTGGTGTTAACGTTCGTAAACGTCTGGAATGCACATTATTTTGCTGTTGGAAAGAAGAAGAGTTTGAGAACAATGGCAAAATCACAACGTCCCTTTACATTCTCTGAGGGGGATTTCATCCCGCCGGTCAAATGCATAATTTCTTGGCAGTCATTTCGCAACTGTTGCAGCTGTTAGGCTTTCGTTAAAACCTTCCAATTTTTCTCATCTTTGTTATCTTCTTCGTCTTACTCATCTCCCTCGGTTTGTATCATCAGACGCATGTCAAGATCACTTGACTTTGCTCGATTAGTCTTTACGGATATCCTCGGCAGTGGTGCAATTCCTTTGATCATTTTATGGTGAAATGAAAAAATATTTTTAGGTATTTTAACTTTCAGCTAGAGATATGAATTTATGAAGTAGAAGATAAGTGAACTTAACACGTTGACATTCGAGTCAAACAAATGTTAGGATCTCGAGAGAAATGATGAGGTAATTCTGAGTTGGAGTCACTTGACATGTTAGAAATCTTTCTAAATAATCTAACTAAGGGTTGGAAGAAGAGCTTTTTCTATTAGAATATAATTTTATGGATTTTTTTGCGATAACTAATGGTTCATATTGGCCATAAATTTGACACAGAGATAAATAAAAAATTCTATGACTTGAAAGAGTTTCAAAATATTCTTCTGTTATATCAAATTATATTCAAGCTTTCAAAGTGATGATAACAGAAATTAATTTATTTATTAAATCACATGATAACTCTAAAATTCTTCTTCATTTAATAGTCACCGGTTCTATGAATACGATTTAGTTACACGTGGGTCTTCAGTAATTTTAATGAGTATTAATTCATTTGAATGTTTGTTTAGAATTTCGAGAGTAATTGAAGAGCAAGTAGAAGCATCATAAATCATCATATTTTGGTACCACGGAAGCCTAGTGTCTCCATTGTATTTATAAAAGTAATGTTTATGAGCATTTGCTTAGAAATTTGCATCTGTAATTGTCACATGGCTTTATGTGACATTTTCTTGTGTGGTTACCTTACTGAAGAGAGTTGACTCAGCGCCAAGATGTTGGAACATAGCATCAATAGAAAGGATAATATATTCCAAACAGAAATGCAGAAAAAAAGATGCATTGAATAAATTTTAAAATTCCACAGACTGAACCCAATGTCTAGAATAATTAAAAAATTTCTAGAAATGTTTGAGATTGAATCTTTCTGAGTAGAGACCAAAGTGTAGGCGGAATTCAATCAATTAATTCTCAGTGTCGACTTACGAATCGATCGTTAACGCTCACTGTAGGATATACGGCTTCAACAGGTCAGGATATAGTAGTCCATTGTAATTCTCTGGGACGAAAAGTTGTCTGTTAGCAACAGGCGGGTACGTATAATTGGCAATCGTAAATCGAACGTTGTCCTTTACTCTTTTCCGCATACACATTCGTTCGATTCAACATCAATCTTGATACGTAATTGATAAATTCACACTGGTAAATGTATTGCACTTTGACATTAAAACATATTGCTATCAATGATGTATAAATTTCAATAATAAATCCGCTTTGTTGGTATGCACTAAATCTTCTTGTTCATTTCGTGACTTGAGTTGCGCTCTATTAACCATCGTACTTAGAGAGTGAAGCCTAATTAATTCATTATGTCAACGTACCTTGTCTGATTGATGACGAGATTATTGATAATAACTATTAGTGAATGTGCTAGACATATAGAACACACTTTTAATCCATCCATGGATTCTTGACATTTTTCACACTCAAGTGTTGGTTTAGCTAATTAGCAAAGAATTCTATTTGAATGATGTTGGACAAATAAATTGAACAACACTTGTAAATACTGTGTAATAGAATCGTAACTCATTCAAAATAGTTAAGTAATACTCCTTCAATAAAATCCATTGAAACAAATTATTTCTTTCAGCAGTAAATAAATTAAATAATTTTTATATAATTGCTGATTAATTTTTTCTCTTTCAGTATACACATTGGAATTATTTAATTATTCTAAATTATTCAATAACTTTCAACATATTGGTAGTTTTATAGATACTTTTTTCTTTCTTTCTTCTAATTATAGATGTCAACGTGTTTAATAAAATGATTTTAATACTCATTAGATGTTTTTTATTTACCATGAATTCTTGAAGAAAAAGTAGAATAATTGTCATTATGATTGATGCAATTGCACGATCATAGAATTTAATGAGCTTGTGGATTTATTTAAGATTTTTATATGACTCAATTTACTGTGTTATTACTACAGAAATATCATTAAATAAAAATACTTGAATAAAATGTTGGATCATTTTATAAATGATGATTCATATGCGTTAAATGTGCCAATCATTTAGGATGGGAATTAGATACGCGTGATATTTTGAAATTAATTGGTGAAAGGGAAATTAAATCAAGGATTAGTTTCAATTGATGATTATTCAAATCACTATTGAAACGTGTTGACATTTATCTATTAGTGCAAAAAAATATTCAATCATCCAAATAATTGTAAGCAATGTTTCTTCTATTTTTCATTATCAGCAATATGGACCCACTCAAGTGAAAATGCAATAAAATATATGATATAAATATATATCAGTTGGAGGCAATCATCCGCACCGTTGAACCAATAGAGATAGAATTTATCGGATACTCGAGATCCCAGAAATGCCTTCCGCAATCTCTAGGGGATCTGAGAGACTGCCGATCAAATGGAACGCTTGATCGTTGTAGTTCACGCATGAACAGTATCTTTATTTGCCCATCAAAGAGGCATTACACTATGTATGAATAAGTATTTATCCATAGTAGAATGTATTAATGATGTGTGGATGTGCTTTGCACATCTGAAATAACCTGGGTGGTAACTTTCTGATGGACAAATTAGACCCATATGAGGCAGGATATATTAATTCGCAGACTTTCGTGACCAGACACGCCCTCCAATTATCGTAGCAATTTCAATCTGACGTGCAGACAGCAACCAAGACTCGAGTGTCATGTTTTTTTTTTACAAATTAGTTTACGCTTGATATTTTATAATTGTACTACCAGAAATCTAATAAAAGATAAGTGCCTGAAAAAATTTGTTTGTATAGCTAGAGTTTCAGTGTTTTATGTCATAGTTTGTGATAGTGATTTATCACCGATAAATTATAATCATTATCACGGAATTATTTTTCAATAAAATATGTAAATATACTCACATAAAAATAAAGTTCAACTTTATGTGATTTTTTAGGGACACAAGTGAGAGCTTCTGATCTACAGCAACCAGTGTCATCAGAGCATCTGTGAAGAATTGCACAGTGTGGAATGTAAGTTGTCGACGGACTTGGATAGACATCTCTAACAGGAATAACTCTCGCACGTGGCCACTGACAGCTACCTTCTCGTGATACCTTCATTGCATGTAGCCTGGCTTCTCGTATTTCAGCTAAAATCAGAATTAAAGTTATTCAGCAATCTGATTAGAGTTCCATTCACAAAATGTGCATGAGAAAAAGAGAAAGGTAAATGTTTATGAAGACATAAAAAGTATAAATCAAGAGGATAAAATGAAAGGATGGTAGGAAGGGTGTGACGAATTGTTTAGACATATGAATGAAGCCACCTCTATAAAGCGTAGTAGCAGTGTAACACGTGGGCGATACTATACACAAATGATTGGTTCATGGCAAAAGTTCATGAGGTCAATGATTATTGCAACAATCTTCAAGTGTTCTCTGAAATTGCAGTTATTAAATTACGTGCTTAGATATAATGAAGTAACTATCACAACAAATTAGTTCTTATATCTTTTATTTTCATCGTTAATTTCATTCTAGGTGTCAATCATTATAAAGATTAACCAGGTCAGATAAGCTAAATAGAAATGATATAATCACAGTTACTTTCATATGAATGCAATTATGCTTGGATGAAGCAGAAGAAAAAAAAAGGTATGATAGCAAGTTAGATATTATCTATTGTTAATAGTTGACCGATGACATGGTATTTATATATTGTATTCTGCAACATTCTATGGGAAATGTAAATTCAAATTAACTTACATTTTTCATTTTTATTGTTGTATACTTGACTTCTGCTCTCCTTGGTTTGAACTTTGTGAGAATTGTGAATTGATTGTAGTTCATTGTGGCTTGGAGTTGTAGAACTGAATAAACGTGAGTCTCGACGATCGTAATTCTGTTGGACGGTAATGACAGGCCTTGATGAAGTCGTTGTCATTTTAGATACCATTGGAGATGGAGTCATTGGAGTAAATGCATCATTTTCAGCTGTCTCTTTTTCTTCTGTATTATCCTAAACACAAGTAAGAAATGTTCATTACAACATGAAAGAATTTTTTTGATTGTTCACCTTTTTTTAACCTTTGTGTAGGCATGTGGAGTACTTTATGACCCCAGGTGGTTTATTTTGGGAATGATACATGCCAAAAGTAGTGTCTTGTTTAAATTATATAAGAAAACATTTTTTTTAAATCTTCTCTGAGAGTGAGTTTGACATGTTTAATTGCGTTGTAAATTTTTAGCGGTTGGCAAGCCTACCAAATTACTCTAATAATTGCTCTAATAAATGTTGATATCACCAGATGGCATGATAACGTTTTTTTTCAATGTCACAGGGTTGGTCAATGTGATTTGCATCTTAGCATGAAGGAAAGAGACTTGTTCTAAAGTGTTTCGAGTGTTGTCGCGTTCATAACCAAAAATGTTTGGGTGGCTGTGGTTTCTGATTCCGATTTTTTACTACGAAATATACAAAATTGAATCCTCATCCGGGCTATATTAATTTAAAAACAATTGAGACAGATACTGATTAAGGTAAGTCAGTTAAAATTCAGTAGTTAATAAAATGAAGTATTATTAAAAATAGTAAAAAACATGGAGTCGTAAACAATTACATGCTATATATGACAACAAAAGTTTGTTAACATAATTAAATAGAAACGTTTGGATGATTAATGCGTAGTAAGAAGTATTAATTGATTTTATTAAATTTCTTTACAATAAGTGATATAAATATGATTTGGCTAAGTTTTACGTGAAAAATAGAAATAAAAGATGGACGCTGTAAATTATTTGCGCATTTCTGGAAAACGGAAAATCAGAAGGTTTTTGCAATTGATCTATTATTATATGGATACCATTTTATAATAATTTTAACGAGTCAATTTACAGGAAAATTTACGAGTAAAAAAAATTAAAAATTATTGGATTTTTTCTAGGGTAGTTCTAGTTGGCAAAAATTACTGAAATAGGAATTTTTACGACTCTTTTGGTAATTTTTACCAACCGGAACTACACTAAAAAACCTAGTATTTTTTCAATTTTTTTTACTAGTAATTTTTACTGTAAATTGACTAGTAAAAATTAATATAAAATCTCATCCATGTACCAATTATTTTCAATTATAAATAATTAATAAACGGTAAAATTTGTTAGAGATAAAAAAAGGATCAATTTTTTGAATAAGGCAATAAAATATAGGCATTTAACGTTATACTACTTTACATTGGACCACCTTAAATAGGATTTTACAACAAATTTATTTTTCTGAAAAAAATGAAAGAAACAGATCAAGTTAATCTTCCATTTGCACAAGATACATCCGTGCAGACATCTGCAGTCTTTGATTTTGTGCCGACTCTAATAGAAACAATCCTGGAGGCTCATAACTAAACCGGTCGAGCGCGTGCACATCAGTCGATGCAACTTGTTTGATACCTTATAGTTACAACCAAGCCTTGAGGGCAACTGCTTACACTTGACATTAATTATCTTTGCGAGTGTCACATTTCACATTGCGATCTATTGAAATAAGTTTCGAGAGATTTGATTCTAAGCTTTTAAGGACCACTTCAACCAGAGTTGATCTCTTGAGTGTAAAGCTTTTTTTTTGACTGATTAAAGAATACCAGATGCCCCGGACAAGTGTCAGTACACAGATATGACTCACTCTTTACTTTCATTCTCTACGCCTTCGTTGAACTTTTCTGGATAATTAGCCTCTACAAAATAAATCACTCCAGTTACATTTGTTCACTTAGTTTATTCACGGAATTTACTCGGCAGACATAAAGCTCTGGTATGATGATACAAAAACTCAACTACAAATTAGTTTCAGACCGTTCAGCATCAAAATCAAGTAAGAACAATGTGGCGAAACGTAAGACAGAAAAAACTTCACTCGCCCTTAACTGCTGTGAGTTTAAGAAGGCGGTTGAAGATCAAGAGGCATTAGTGCAGGAAAGAGAAATCACCTCCTGTTATTAAACTCTTTTCTTTCCCTCACAGGGATGGACCACCCAAATTTGTACTCCACACATCAATTTAGTCCACATAAAATCTATCATTTTTTTTCTTCTCATTTTCTCATTATTAACACATTCATGTCTTTACTACAAACTGCCCTTAAATCAATGCTCAATTAGCACAGATATTTTACCTCAACAAATCCGCATCTTTTCGAGTAAAAATAATCCATTTTTGGACAGGCCCAAAAATATTTTCTAGGCTCACAACGGACCCAATTCAAGCCCAAAAATATTTTTAAAACTCAAAAAAGAAATTTCATAAAAATTTATCATTGAATTCCTTTTTATGCTACAAATTTATAATTGTAATGATTTATTGTCATTATTGTTGAGTATAATTTTAGAAAATGGGCCTGAATTGGGTCTAAAAAATATTTCTGAACTTGAATTGGGCACTGAAAATATTTTTAAGTTAAAATTGGGCTTCAATCGGGTCTGTATTGGGCCTTTTTTCCATTATGGATGTCTTTTAGGCCTCTTTTAGGTCTATTTAGTTTTACACGGTTTGTTTTTTGAGTTTTTAAGTAAAAAATTAACTCAAGCATGAATAATTGACTTCATTATTTTTAATAATTGACAAAAAAAAAATTATTTACAATTGACTGGCTGATAATGTGATGAAAAAGGGTGAAAGATCTGTTAAATTAATATTCGTGCATCAGATAAGTGCATAAAAGCAGACAATAAAGTGGAGGGAACATCTTGAGGCGTACCGATTGCATCCCGGATAGTCTCCCTAGTGATGGCCCACCCACTGTGTAGTTCTCGATTCTAGATACTCGCTCAAGTATACTAAACAGAACGAAAAGTGCATTCAATGCATTAACACTAACGTGAACATCCTTACCGTTACATGTATATCTTTCTGGGAGCAAAATTTACAAGTTCACTCACTTGTGATGTATTTAACATCAACTTTGAATCATTAAATAAATATTACCGAGCTAAGTAAATATTATTGAGTTAATTACTAACCATTTATGAGCTTCAAGCATTGACAATTTATGTTAGATATTTATCTTTTGCGTCTTATGATAACAGAGATACGTTATTTAACTCAACAAAGTCACGTTTTTTGCTCTAAATTAGAGTTCAGTATTAATATTTTTTATTAATTTTGTAATAGATAATTTAAAAAATAAAAATAATTAACAATTTTTATTTGCTGATTAACAATTTCCTCGTAATGGAGTAATGATTAATTGATTGAAAAATTTTTTTTGTCGACTATTGCTCCAAAAATGGTTAATTTTAATTAAATAAAATATTTCACGAAATGAATGAAGCTCTAAAATTACATCAAATAGAAGAAGAAAAAAAATATAATCCTATTTTCGGAGTTTTATAAGAAATTGATATTAAGGATAAGTAGAGATCACTTTTTGATAATACTCTTTGAAGATTTAAAAAAGAAATGCAAGAATTATAATGACTTCGTGTGTAGTCGTACTATAAAATTAACGCTATTTCGAGAAGGAGAATGTGGTTGGTGCTGCCAGGCTGTCTGCCACTAACGATGACGCTGAAGACGACCATGAAGAGATGGCACACCATGGTGACCATAACTAATAACGATTCGCATTGGCACTCAGACTGGGTTTATTGCCACTTCTCGGAAGCAACATGTTATATGCACTAGTACCCATCAAAATGCAAAACTGTCGAACCAATAGTCGTAATCGTGGATGTAACAGAATGCGATTATTCAGCAGTCCCGCGGCCTTAATATTGAAAGACAGTAAAAGAGATGGATTGCACTAATTCTTTCCCATTTTTCATGCTTTATACTAATCTTAGCTTTGTAAAAGCTTATACTTCTTGATGCATACCATCACGCATGAATGTATACAATGGAAGAATTAATCAGAAACGTATTTTTATCATACACTGAATCACCAATATTGAACAGGATTCGTATTGAATATTTTTTCAGTATTTGAATTGAGTCATGAAACCTTAAGTTGTACTTGAATTAATTATTACGATAAAATGGGTCTGGGTGCACTTGGGGTCTTGATGAGATCTTGGATCTTTTCTTACTCAACTTATTTTGCAGTCTTTTTGTTATAAAAAAAAACAATGGCTAGACCAAATTTGTTTGAACTCATTTTCAAATCTTCTCCATTGTATTATCTTTCGAATGAAATTTTTTCAGAGTCGATATCTTCAGTGGTTCTCGAGATATTGGAAACAAAAAAATATGTACGTACAATTTTACGTACGTACATTTATTTTTAAACCTTTTAATATGCTTGGAAATTTTTTAAAATGTAAAGAAATGCTAAAATGACGAATTTCAAAAATCGATCTCATTACAATCACTTCCTGATGAAAAGATAATTAGAGTTCTCAAGTTTGGTTTCCAAGTGATTGAAGAAGTTTTCATTTTTCTCAAGAATTTGTGACCTAAGCTGATAATAATTTACCGAAAATCTTATCAGCCATAGAAAAATCAAAGTTTCAATGGTTTATCAGTCTAAAAAAAAAGAATTGCGTCATTATTGAACTGTGATACTTGTGAGTACTTATTGAAGAGTTGAGTTTTCAGAAGATTATCTGGTCATTAATATTACTGTGCAATATGATGGAATCTTCCCATACTGCGTCTCATTGAATCAGGTCATCTGTAGAAAATTAACGAATGTTGATAGTCATTAATAATGAAAAGGTGCAGCGATACTATGACATCATCTGTTATTTACGCCTTGAAAAACACTTGAAGCTTGAGAGACACTCCTTAGAAAGTTCTTGGGGTAAATAGGAGGGATAAACAAACGCAGCAAAATTTTCTTTATTCTACTATCTTTCATTTTACACACGGGTCGAAAGTACATGTGTTATCCAACATTGTGTTATTCATCGCTAGTATTGATATGTACTCCAACTCATTGTCAAAGAATTGCATATGCTCTCAACGTATACACTACTGTTAGCAATTTTTAAAAATAGTTTCTAAAGCTTAAATTATTGCTTTTACTTTTGCAAATGTCGATTACTTTTTTCGCACGTTTATGAGTAATAATCGTAAAGTTGCTTGAATTATTGACGTGAGACCAACAGAAATTTATATTTATAACTGTGTGAATAATTGGAAATATAAAAAGTCGTTTTCATTGAAAATTTCATTATTACGTCTCCGTTACAAAGGGATCTATTTTTTGAGCTAAGACACAATCGCCTTCTCCTCCAAACGGGTGTGGAGACTTCGCAGAATTATTTTAGATGAAAAATTAAAGAAATAGGAAAGGTATTTAGTGTTAGCAAACCATCATGATGCAACAAATGAAGAAGAGAGTTATTCCTTTTTATTATGAATAATTTTTATTACTCTTTACTTACTTTATTTGAGAAAAAAAATGTATTAAAAGGGTCGGAAAACTAGGTAGCAGAAAGTTGAAGCTATATTCAGCAGGCTGGCAAATGACTTTTTAAATAGCACTTTTAATAGATGAAAAAAGACTCCTACAACTTGGTGCTTTGACATAAAAAGACCCACTTGAAACACTG